GGGGGCGGGACGCCTGGGCACCGCCTCCCTCCCGAGTCTCCAAATCAGGAAGGGCCTGGGCGCCGAGAGCGTCTATGTGAGCTTGTGACCCAGGCCGGTGATTCAAGAAAGCTAGAACCCATCCTCAGCCCTGGAAATCTGGGGACAGAGGCTCACAGCAACTTAGAACCAGCGCAAGAACCACGATTCCGGAGTCTGATTACTGAAAACACAGTATCTCAGCCCTCAGCCTAGCTTCCCACAGTCAATGCGTGAGTTAGCCCATTCATCTCACAGAGGGACAAACTGAGGATCAGGGAAAGGAACCACTGCGTGTTAGTGGCGAACTCTGCTAGGGCCTTCTCCACTCCTCTAAGAAGGTGCAGTGGTGCGTTTTGGGCCTCTCAAACCAGAGTACAGAGAACGTAAATAAAGATTCCCAGATGTATTATCAATCCAAGTGGGCTGGAATGTCATCCTATTGGCTAAAGTCATCCTAATGGGACTTTTCTTTCATTTTTGTTATAGTTTACTCATTTTAACTTTAATTATAAGTAAATTAATGGGAGGACAGCCATTATTTTAAGGCCTGGGGCCTCAAGTAGACATGAGCTCCAGCTTGCTCTCCTCCTGGAGAACTGAAATCCATTGGGTGGTGCAGCATTCTTTGACACACACACTCAGAGCACAGGACTGCCTGCAAGTCATTATAGCCAAAGCTTTCAAGGCTGTGGAGCTGGAACCTGGCCTGGCCCAGCCCAGCCCCAAGACCCCACCCTTCCTGTCCTATGTCCAGCAGCTGAGTACATTACCTTGCCCTTAGTGTCAATACTGGTGACCTTCAGGTCAACCTACGCCTCCCTTTCCTAATGGGACCACAAAGGGATGTTCTGCTTTCACACCCTCTTAGTCCTTGCTAGCAATTCACACTTCCAGAGCTCCTAGGGGTGGGCCCCAATGAACAGGACAGAACCCCATTGGAGGGGCTACTCCTCCAGGAAGACAGGCCACAAAGGGGCAGCAAGGAGTGGAGGCAGGGCCTGTAGGTTCAAGCCCCAGTTCCTACAATAGTTTTGCGAGGCCCTCAAACTGGCCTATTGGACTCAGCCTCATCTGCAAACCAGGAACTTCTCCATGGAGTTGGTTAATCCATTAATGAAATGTGCAAAAAACACATAACCTGCTCAGACCCTCGCCCACAAAAAAAAGGTTCTTTTCTCTAGACCACTATGGCCAGCCCAGAATCACAACATCCCCTTTGTTTCTAGAGCCCTGCAAATCCTGGATTTGCTCCTTGAAGCAACAGAGCTGGGTGCAGATTCGCCCACCGGGCAGCGGGAAAACGCGGAGTGGGAAATTTGGAACGGCATGCAGGCTGGGCATGCGCAGTCACGACGGGCTGGTTTGAGAAGCCGCCAGGGAGCTGCTGCGACTGCCTCGCGGCCCTAGGCAGGGGCGGGGCCCGCCTTATATGGGAGCTGCGTGAGGACAAACTGCGCGGGCGCCTCCCGCGGGGCGGGTCCTAGCACACCTATCTCTTTGCGACAGCCACTGGCACCGCCTTCTGCGCACAGGTGAGTGTCCTCAGCGCACGGAACACCTGAGGGTCCCACTCTGGGCAAAATCCGCCCAATTCTGAAGGACTTAACGGTGTTAAACTTTTTAGGTGTTCCACCTACTCATCAATCCCATATTCTGTGTCCGGGGTTTTATCGCTGTTGCTTAGAAAGTTTTATTTATCCGTTATTAATATATTCACAACAGCCTACGTGTGTCTATCCACGCCCTGTCCTGCCAGTGTGTTGCCATTGACACAGTGAGACCATCTCAGCCAGACAGACACTTTCGACCCCAAACTCCAGGCCGGAAACTTTTCAAAGGGAGGCGGGAAGGTTTCTCACCGCAGACTAGACAGAACAAGCGCACACTAAGCAGACCGGGAGACTGAAAGGAATTTCTGTAAAGGATGTTAATTATAAGATACGGAGTGTGCACATCGCGTCAAACTTCTAATGTGCATATTTTAAAGTACTTTATACACTTGAATATGCTAATACGAGTCGCCTGGGGACTCTAAAAACCTGCAAAGATGAATTCTTTAAGTCTGGGGTGGAGTCTGATATGCTGTATTTCCAACAAGTTCCTGGGAGTGTGGATGCTGCCCGCCTCTTGAGAAGGTTTAGATGATCTCTGGTAAACTACAAGAGAGGTTTGTAATGTGGAAAACACACAGGGCCTCTAAATCTGGGGCCCAAAAAATAATGAGTAGATTTCCCAGGTTCATATCACTTACGCATGGATTTGTAACTAATGGCCTGAAATTTAGTGGCTTAAAACAAAAACAGCTTGGGAGCAGCAATTAGCCTAATGGCTATGTCGCTGGACTCCCACGTAGTTGACCGCGGTTCGAGTCCTGGACCCTGTGACTTAAACTCACACCGGGCACGTGTGCGTGTGTGCCCAAGATCCCGAGAGGAGAATGGAGGAGAAGGGATTGGGGAGTGATTTCTCGCTTTCTGTCTCTCAGTCTCTGTCTGGCGAGTACAGGCGCCCTGTAGCAAAAAAAAAAAAAAAAAAAAAAACAAACAGCTATTACTCCTCCCTATTCTGTAAGTAGCTGGTTTCACCTGACCTTACCAGTATGGCTAGGGGGGCTGGGCCCAGCTGGAGTGATGAAAAGCTGGTGTCTTTCTGTTTTTCAAATTCAAAAAGTTTAGGTCAGTTTACTTCCTGGGCAAAACAGTCTTTCAAGAAGGCATGCCCAATTGGACAGGCCTCAGTAGAGGTCATGTGGCCTGAAGTCCCATTGACCAAAGACAGTCACATAGCTAAGCCCAGGGTCAGTATGGAAGGGACCATTCATTAGAAGAGGGTGGGTCGGGGAAGCCACTAAACTTCTACCACAGAGTCCATGAACTTGGAAGAGAAAAAGAAAAAAAAAAAAAAAACCACACCTTTAATAAGTCCCAGGTTGGAACCAGCAGATGGCAAAATGGTTATGTTGCTGGACTCCCACATGGCCCACCACAGTTTGAGTCTTGGACCTGGCAGCTTGAAACTCACACCAGGCACATGTGCCTGCTTGCCCAAAATCCCCAGAGGAGAATGGAGAAGGAATTGGGATGTAGTTATCGCCCGGGAGCGGGTGATTTCTTGCTTTCTCTCTGTCTCTCTGGTGCTTGCACATGCCTTATAGCAAAAAAAAATAAAAATAAAAAGGCAAAAAAAAAACCCTCTCTTTTAAAAGAAAAAAAAAAGGGCTCAGGTTAATATTAGTGTTAGTAATACCTGAGATCACTGGAAATCACAGATATTATCATATTTAGTAGGAATCGTTGCAGCTGTCCTAAATCATTCTTAGATTCATTACTACCTGGACACCATGGCAGTCACTAAACTGCCACTAACTGTAAACATGGGTATTACTTTATCACAAAAGTATTTCATAACATTTTTTTCTTTTTATTCATGATAGAGCATATGTGCCCATGTGTGAGTGAGAGTGAGAGAAACAGATGAGCACCCTTCATAAAGTCTGGTCACCCAGTGATCCCTAGTCCATCATATCCTGGGCACTTGCAAGGGTCCACCTGTTTTATGCTGACCAACAGGGATTCCAATAGCAGCCATGGTCACCAAGTGGGATCCAGTCCCTTGAGCAGTGCATTACCACTGCAGTGTGGAGCCAGCCCTATTTTCTAATATTCTGATAGTTGTATTCCAGTATAATTAACTTCTATTTAACCCCATGTATTTTATTTAAGTACATTTTAAAATGTTATTTTGAAATTGTAGTTTTCACCAACCAAAATACTCATGGCACAAAACAATAGTTTCAGAACAATTCAACTTTTTCTGAAAAATAAAAATGTTCTTTACTCATCTTCTTTTTTTTTTTTTTTTTTGGAGAAATTTTCGCTATAGGGCGCGTGCGCTCGCCAGACAGACAGAGAGAGACATAGAGACAGAAAGCGAGAAATCACGCTACCCAGGGGGGATGGTCATGCCGCAATCCCTTCTCCTCCATTCTCCTCTTGGGATCTCGGGCACGCACGCACACGCGCCTGGTGTGAGTTTTAAGCCACCGGGTCCAGGATGCGAACCATGGTCAACTATGTGGGAGTCCAGCAACATAGCCATTACGCTCACTGCTGGTTCCCTTTACTCATCTTCTTAAACTGTGATGGGAAGAAGTTCAAGAAGGATAAAACCCAAATGATTTTAAATAAGAACAGAATACTAACACCAGTAAAATGTGTGCATGTGTGTGTATGTTGGTTATATTTTGCTTGTTTATCTTCATATCTTTTATCTTGGATCTCATATATTGTTGAATTATTTTTCCTAGTGTTTAGCAATCTCATTATTACCAATTAGTTAGTGACAGTGATTGAAACTTCCCAGGTGTTAGCTCTGTTACTTCAAAGCGAGATAGCATTGTGATCCAATGTTCACTCCACCTCAAAATATTTGAGTCATCTTGAAATACTATTAGATGAGAAAAAATAGACTATTCCATCAGTTATGCTTTTTCTATTTCCCTTTCTAGCCTCTAAGAAAATTGAATTATTCTCTCACAAACGTAACTTTTAGAAAACCTTTATAAATCAAAAACTAACAAAGTTAAATTGGAATAAAGGATACAACTGACATCTCCTAACCCCGTCAGTTTTGCTATATGCTACTAGTATTGATAATAAGCATTATATCACACAGTTCTCCTGATGGGAGTGCTTTACACCAAGGAACGTAAGCTATGCTATGAGCCAATAAATAAAAACAAAAGTTCTTCTGATTTTTTTAAAAAATATGTACTAAGCCTCAGAGGCAGAACTCATAGATAACAAATCCAAAGCCAGCATCAATTTCATTTTCTAATCGTAAAACTTAAAGATATATTTAGAACTGTCTAAAATACTAAGCAATAAAAGCAAAGATTATTTGAAAAATTATACTGTTGGGCCTGAGAGAAAACCTGCACTCCAAAGTAACAGAAAAGATCATCACAAAAATCACTTAGTAATTTTAGTAAAGCTTGGCAGGTAGCTATGTCAGACTTCTTTTACAGCAAAAGTGAATGAAGAAATCACAGTAGATTCAATTTAATAGAAACTATCACCCTAAATAATAGTCATTGTATGAACTTTAGTGGAAAAGATTGTTTTCAATTGCATGTAACTATACCTATGGTCACAAATAGTTTAGCATTGATGGACTTGGCAAGTCTGTGTAAACATTTGAACTTTCTTAAGAATGAGAAACCAAGACCAGCAGTTGGCATAGTGATTAAGATGCTGGACTCCGACATGGCAGACTGGGGTTCAAGTCCCAGACTGAGTGACTTGAAAATCACACCAGGTTCTTATGCATGCATGTTCAAAGTTTTGGGAGAATGGAGGAGAAGGCATTGTGGTGTGGCCATCTCCTGTGGGGGGTTATCACTCACTTTCTCTCTCTCTTTCTCTGTCACTCCGGCAAGCTCTTGCACCCTATAGCAAAAATCTCTCTTAACAACAACAAAAAAAAAAATCCAAAAAAAAAAAAAGTGAGAAACCATATTTAGTTAAAGGGATCGAGAAAAGTTTCATGGATGAGTTAGTTTTGGAGATGGGCCTTGCAGGAGGGACAGTATTTGAACCTCCAAGATGGGCAAGGAGGTGACTCCTAAGGTGGAAGAAATACCTTGAACAAATATTTAGAGTTAGGAAAATAGTCTTGTTCCCGGAATAGTGCGAAAACCTCTTTTCCTGAAGCACAGTGTGAGAAGTTTAAAAATAGTTATAAATTCTTCCTTTCCCTGTACTCATATATTGCAATGTTACTTTGTAGTTCCATTCAACTGGAAGTAGAATCTATGAGAGGGTCTTCAAAAAGTTCATGGAAGGTGCATATTATATTTTTAAAAAAAACCTGGATTTTTTTTTTCTTGGCACTGTCATAAACTCATACTTTAATTCTATTTCCTCTATGCTTTTTTTTTTGAGAGGTTTTTCATTATAGGGCATGCGCACTCACCAGAAAGACAGAGAGAGACAGAGAGATAGAAAGCAAGAAATCACCCCCCACGAGGGATGGCCATGCCGCAATCCCTTCTCCTCCATTCTCCTCTCAGGATCTTGGGAACGCATGCACACACACCCAGCGTGAGTTTAAGTCACTGGGTTCGTGACTTGAACCACGGTTGACTACATGGGAGTCCAGCGACATAGCCATTACACTAACTGTTGGTCCCCATCTAGGAGTTTTTTGAAGTCCTCTTGTATTTCTCCACCTCTTCAATGTGGTTGGCTCTAGAAGTTGCTTTGGGCCACAGAATGCAGCAGTATTTATTGACTTCACCTTATTTTCATGCCTTGGTCTCAGCAGGTTATGCATGTGCTAAACTCTTGTTTACAAACATCATTGCTGTCCTGTGAGCAAGCCCAGGCTAGCCTGCTGAATGAAACATGATCCAGTCAAACCCCGCACCATAGCCAATAGCCAATAGCCAGCCATCCACCAGACATGTGACAATAGTCAGCCAACCACCAGACGTGACAATAGCCAGCCAACCATCAGACATGTGAGGAAGGCC